AGGCGGGTGTGTCCTGACTGACACTTGGACTGTCATCACGTATTTTTCAGTAGAGGTTTTACGGCGCTCGCAACTGCGTAAGGTCATATGAGCGCCAGAAGATAAGAGGTGTTACAAGAGAGTAACAAACACAAAATAGAAGGAGGGGAGATAGGGACGATAATCATTTCATAGGAAAGAAGGAGCAAACCACACCGGAGCACCCGCCAACCACCCACGGCTGTCGTCACAGACTGACATCACAGACTGTCATCACAGACTGACACATGGACTGACACCACAGACTGGCACATGGAATGTCATCAAAGATAGTCAACACAGACTGACATATGGATTGTCATCATAGACAGACACATGGAAAAATGGAATGTCATCACAAACTGACACATGGATTGTCATCACAGACTGACACATGGACTGTCATCAAAGACAGCTCACACATCGCTAAATACTGACTGACACAGAGACAGACTGCCCCCACCCCCAACTCTCAGCAACTCCACCCACCCGAACACACCCTCCCTTTCACCCCTCCCCTCCGTGCCCCACCTCCTCCCGTGCCACACTCAGACACTTACCTTTCTTCCCATGCCTCATATCTGCAAGGGGGTAGTTGCGCCTCTATCAGGCGGCGCCACACGACCACTCAACGATACACGCCGGCCGATATCCTGTACTAGATCTAGAATCTAGCTCTATCCCACGACACAGCCGAAATAAGTTCAAAACCACTTTGGGCCGTAACAACAATAACAACAACAACAACAAACAATAGCCCAGCCAGGGAGAATCACAGTCCTGTCTTGCAAGTATCCACAGGGCAGCTAACAACAACAGGGAAATCTCCACGGTCCAATAGACCGATAGTCCAACAGTGTATGGTCCAATAGACCGATAGTCCAACAGTGTATGGTCCAATAGTCCGATAGTCCAACAGTCTGATACTCCAATAGACCGATAGTCCAACAGTGCGATAGTCCAATAGACCGAAGTCTAACAGTCCGATAGTCCAATAGACAGATGGTCCAACAGTCTGATACTCTAACGGACCGATAGTCCAACAGACTGATAGTCCAATACAACTCGTGTTCAACAGACGGCTAGTCCAATAGACCGATAGTTCAACAGTCAGATACTCTAACAGTCTGATACTCCAACAGACCGCTAGTGCCCAGGTCCACGCCAAAGGTCAACACTGAGCACAATGACAGGATCAGAGCCAAGGTTCCCACGAAGTAACAAAGTACAAAGTACCTCCCTCGCTCCCTCACTCACTCCCTCACTCGCTCTCTCCTTCACTAACCCTGACGACTGAGGAAACAACTGTGGTATTGTAGCACACAAACCATGGCCTCGCCTTACCCCGGGCGGGACACAGCACAGGTGGACAACGGGGG